AAGTTTTGGGAAGGTGACCCATGCCCCTACCCCTACTACTTCCCACAGTGACAGTGACTCACCTGATTGGTAAGATGGAGAGAAAGACTCTGTGCACACACAGATCTTCAAAGAATCCAGCACCAAGCTGGTGCCTCCCTCCTCTCACTCTTGCCTTACTAGGGCCCACCACAAGCAAGAGCAGCAGCCTGGTTGCTAGAAGCAGGTCTAGAGGCCTATCCCTCTGCCTTCAGTGAGTGTTGGTCTAAGGCGGCTGAAGCTCCATATGGATGGCTGGGGTGGCGTGAGGGTGCTGCTCTGCACACCCAGGCTCTCTCCACACCAAGATCTAACTCAGGGCACAGGCATCGGAAAGCCCCTATGGTTACCAGCTCAAGCCACACTTTCCATTCTAGTTTTACCTATACAGCTGATGTTTTAATCTTCATTCCACTCCCATGTCTATTTCTCAAGTAGGACTACACTTAAAGGGGGAAAACATGTGATTAATGATCACCCACAGAAACCCACCTCTAATACCTTTGCAAAAACTTCACTGGCTCCCCACTGCTTCCAGCTGTAAACATCTCAGGCCAACACAGAAAGCTGTTTCACACAATTGATAACTTAAACTTTCCCTCCCTGTGCTTCGGTCGCCCCAAACTCCCCACTCTTTCCTGCATGCAATGTGTTTCCACACTCCCTCCCCACCCGCTATCCACTCAGCCTGGCCTGGGCTTTAGCCCAAACACACCTGAACTCACTCACCTTCAAATTCAGTTCAAATGTTTCCTTTCCTGCAAAATCTTATTCAACTTCCTTAGACAAAATGACACACATCCTCTTCTGTGTTTTTCTCACTTTGAGTGTTTGTGTACTTACAATCCCAACTAGCCTGACAGCCCCTGGTAGCAGGGATTACATCCATTCTTCTATCTTTAACCCATTCTAGACACTTAAGAGCATGCCAGATATCATAAACAGAAAAAATAGCAGTGAGGCCTGGGTTGAGGCCACAAATATCCAACTTACAGCTTCATATCAGGGGTTGCAAACTTTTTCTCTAAGGGATAGAAGGTAAATATTTTTGGCTTCCTGGGTCATATAGTCCCTGCCACAAATAGCCCTGCCCCTGCAGCACAAAAGCAGCCACAGATAATGCATAAATAACTGAGTGTGGCTGGGTTCCGAAAAAACCTCATTTACAAAACAGCAGCAGGCTGGATTTGGGCCACGGTCAGTTTGCAGACCCCTAATCCATCCAATTGAAAACATCCTTGGGATACCTTTGGCTTTCCTACCTCCCATGGTAAGTTGGAGTCTCTATCCAAATTGACTTAAACCACATATTTTTATATTGTGGAGCAGGATAAAATACAAAGGTTTTCCGTAACAGAAAATCCTAGTGCTGCCTGGGCAAGTGCCTGTATGCTAATCTCTTGGGCTAAAGGGCACTGCACAGTAAGTGTTATCTACCACCTCACTCACACCTGAGCATATCAGTTTTCTGCTTAAAATTCCTCACTGGGGCAGGGCACAGTGGCTCATGCCTGTGATCCCAGCCCTTTGGGAGGCCGAGGTGGGCGGATCACCTGAGGTCAGGAGTTCGAGACCAGCCTGGTCAACATGGTGAAACCCCATCTCTACCAAAAATACAAAACATTCTTCACTGGGTCCCCATTTCCTACAGTAATGGTGAGGGTGATGATAGTGATGTCAGCAGCAGCAGAAAGCAGTTAAATTGTTTTGCATTTATGTGTCAGATACTGTTCTAAGCATTTTACATGTATGAATTCTATGAAGAAGGTATAATTATCACTCCCACTGGAGGAACAGAGAGAGTAAAAATTGTTTACTTAAGGTTACAGAGCAAGTGGCAGGGCTGTGGGTTCATATCAAAGCAGTTGGCTCCTTGTGGTAAACTGCTCTTCCAGAGCCCCATTGCTTGGCATGACTAATTAAAACATCATCATGAGCCTTGACTAGCTCATCTTCCCGACCCAATCAGATGCCGAACTTTCTATACTTCTCCCAAGAATACATGTTTCTGTTTCTGTCTTTGAACATGATCTTCTTTCTGCCTGGAGAGCTCTCTCTCATCAGTTGATGAGCCCAGGAGTTCAACACCAGCCTGGGAAACACAGCAAGAGCCCACCTCTACCAAAAAAAAAAATTAGTTGGGCATGGTGGCATATGCCTGTAGTCCCAGCTACTCATAAGGCTGAGGCAGGAGGATCACAAGGCTCCAGGTGTTGAGGCTGCAGTGAGCTGTGATCACACCGCTGCACTACAGCCTGGGTGACAGAGTGAGACTGTCTCAAAAAACAAAAGGTTACAATGGTAAATTTGAAATGTAATGTTATGTGTATTTCACCAAAATTTTTTAAAAAGCAGGGGGTCAGGGAGAAAAAGAAAAAAATGTCCCTGATTATAGGATATTAAAGAAAGTAAAACCCCTCACAGAAGGTAAAAAAGTCTCCTATGACCACTTACTTTAATGATTTAGTATGTATGTTTCCAGATATTTTCCCATACATACCAATAGTATATGCAAATTGCATACATTTCATTTTACTATTATGAATCAGATCTTTGCTTTCTTTTTTTTTTAGACAGTCTCGCTCTGTCGCCCAGGCTGGAGTGCAGTGGCACGATCTCAGCTCACTGCAACCTCTGCCTCCCAGGTTCAAGCGATTCTCCTGCCTCAGCTTCCTGAGTAGCTGGGACTACAGGCGCGTACCACCATGCCTAGCTAATTTTTGTATTTTTAGTAGAGATGGGGTTTCACCCTGTCGGCCAGGATGGTCTCAATCTCTTGATCTCGTGGATCCACCCACCATGGCCTCCCAAAGTGCTGGGATTACAGGTGTGAGACACCATTGCCTGGCCCAGATCTTTACTTTCATTACATCTTCTAATAGGTTACTAATGCCACCGTATAGAGGAACTGCAGATTCTGAAAATATTTATCTTGTATACAATGGCCTTTCTAAACCTTGCTAGTTCTAATTGTTATTGTTAGTTTTGTTTCTCTTGGATCGTCTAGGAAGACCTGTCTATCTGTAAATAATAAGAATTCTGTCCCTTGCTTTCCAATATTTGTACCCTCATTTCTTTTTTTTTTTTTTGGATAGGCTGGATCCTTCAGAAAAGTATCAAGAGTAAAAGACATCCTTATCTTTTGCAGTTTTACTAAGAATAGTGTTTCACTACTGTGCATCATGCTTAATTAAGCCAGGCGTGGTGGCTCACACCTGTAATCCCAGCACTTTGGGAGGCCGCAGCAGATGGATCATGAGGTCAGGAGATCAAGACCATCCTGCCTAACAAGGTGAAACTTCGTCTCTACTAAAAAAAATACAAAAAATTAGCCAGGCGTGGTGGCACACACCTGTAGTCCAGCTACTCGGGAGGCTGAGACAAGAGAATCACTTGAACCTGGGAGGCGGAGGTTGCAGTGAGCCAAGATGGCACCACTGCACTCCAGCCTGGGCGACAGAGCAAGACTCTGTCTCAAAAAAAAAAAGAAAAAAAATAGAGATGAGGTCTCGCTATGTTGCCCCAGCTGGTCTTGAACTTCTGAGGCTCAGCAATCTGCCTGTCTCAGCCTCCCAAAGTGCTGAGATTACAGGTGTGAGCCACTACTCCTGGCTGTTTTTTAGGTTTTGATATGAGGATTTTTCCAGCCTTATAAAATAAGCTGGAAACATCTCTTGTTTTCCTATACTTTGGAAAAGTTTGAATGATATTGGAATAATCTGTACTATGAAAGTTTGTCAGAACAGGCCAGGCACGGTGGCTCACGCCTGTAATCTCAGCACTTTGGGAGGCCGAGGTGGGCGGATCACCTGAGGTCGGGAGGTCTCCAACATGGAGAAACCCCGTCTCTACTAAAAATACAAAATTAGCCAGGTGTGGTGGCGCATGCCTATAATCCCAGCTACTCAGGAGACTGAGGCAGGAGAATCACTTGAACCCTGGAGGTGGAGAGCCGAGATCGCGCCATTGCACTCTAGCCTGGGTAACAGGAGCAAAACTCCGTCTCAAAAAAAAAAAAAAAAAAAAAAAAGTTTGTCAAACCAGTGGGTCTGTTGGATTCTTTTGGTGGAACTTTCTTTTTTTAGAGTTTTTTCAATGTATTTTGGGGGGTGGAACTTCCTTTTTTTTAAGAGTTTTTCGATGTATTTTTATGATTATTGATCTATTTAATTTATTTTCTTTCTTTTTTAGTAGATCTAATAATTTATCTCATTATAAAGTTGTTTGATTTTCCATTCCTCCCAGACCAGGGATTTGTTTTGTCTCAGGTCTCACCTGGGCCGCAGTGGCTGCCGTCTGTAGGAGGCGTGACTCTTCCCACAGGCACCGGGCCACAATCCGGGCAATCTCCATTGGCTTCTCAAGATACCTACTCTGTAAGTAGAAGAGAAAGAGAATGAAAATCAGTAGCAGACCATGGAGATGTGGACTGAACTGCGGCACCTTAAAACTAATGTATTCATCAAGGAAAGCATTTACTCTAGGAAAGAACAGAACAAAGGCTTCAGAGCCTGGGTGAAGGCTCTCTGTGGGTGGGCGAAGGGGAGGTCGTTACTATTTCTGTAACAGAAGGCACACTAGCCTGAGTCTTTTTTTTTTTGAGACTGGGTCTCACTCTGTCCACCAGACTGGAGTGCAGTGGCGCAATCACAGCTTACTGCAGCTTCGACCTCCCAGGCTCAAGTGATTTTCTCACCTCAGCCTTCTAAGTAGTTAAGACTATAGGTATATGCCACCACAACTGGCTAGTTTTTGAAAAAAAAATTCTGTAGAGATGGTGTCTCGTTATGCTGCTCAGGCTGGTCTCAAACTCCCGGGCTCAAGCAATCCTCCCACCTCAACCTCCTAAGGTGTTGGGATTACAGGCGTGAGCCACCATGCCTGGCCTTGTCTGAGTCTTTACACAGTATGCTATCCTGCTCTTGCAGGGAAGCAACTGACTTATTCAAGAAGTATCCCATTACGGTCAAACCTTTAACATGTAACAGTGAGAGTCATCTTCCTATCAGTGGACCCGGTTAACATGCTAACATGTATGATTAATGTAACAATCACTTTATGGTCAGGCATGGTAGCTCATGCCTGTAATTCCAGCACTTTGGGAGGC